AAATTATATCAAATTCTAATTGTATATAGTAATTTCTCATTTAATAGAATTTTAACTTGTAATAAGCTAAAATGAAATAAATGGTAAATATATTCTAAAAGATAAGAAATTTGCTTATTATCTAGAGATTTATTTTTAAAGATTCTCAAAAATAGTTTAAAAATTCTTTATACTTCTTATTTAAACTCAGCATTCATAATTTGACAAAAGCAAAATAAATTTGTTTTGTCTATAATACAAAACCTATCCTATGTAAAAATTTTGCTCTATTTTTTGGCATGAGACATATCAGCTAAATTTCTTTGTATTAATACTTTACCATATTTCAGAAGAATTAAAAAACTATTTTATTTAAAAATAGTTTTATTCTAATCATTATTAATATATTGCTACACTTATTTAACCTATATTTGTTTATAGACAGCAATCAGCATTAGAGTCATCCTTGAGTAAGATTGCTTATCTAAACTCATTTTAGATTTAGCAAAATATCTAAACTATAGTTTTGCTAATTTTTTATAAGGTTTTGATATAGTTTCGCATTTTTATAAGCTTTGATATAGTTTTACTTTTTTCAGAATTTCACAGATTTTTTAATAAGATTTTCACTAAATTTTATCTTTTGCCATTTAGGTAACTTGCAAAACCTTTAAGTTTCATCTAGCAACCTTATCCTTCAGAAAGTTTTTTTATAATCATAGATGGTTAAATGATTTGAAACTATCAAGTAAAATACTTCAAGATTCTGCTACTCTAAATTTTTTAACCAAAGTTCTTGTTAGTATTGAAGTATTTCTTCAGATATTCTGTCTATGAGACTTAAAAAATTTGTTAGTAATCTTTCTTAAATAACCATTTTCTTTTTTTTAACTTATTATATTAATATTATTTATTTTTTAATATTATTATATATAGTAAAAAGAGGATCTTTGTAATTTTATGTAATTCAAATTCTTGTATATACATTCATTCCATAATTGTAAAATAGTTTAATACTATCTTTCTTATTTTAAAATTATATTTTGTGATATTATAGCTTAGAAAAAATATGTAACACATTGATCTGAGTGCTGAAAAGTTCCTTTTATTGAAAAGTAATGAATTTTTAAACTCTTTTAAAACTAAAAATTTTTTTAATAAAAAAGGAACAAATGTTCAGAACTCTTTTAAAGCTGAAATTTTATTTCCTTTTATTGAAAAAGAACTACTTTTTGGACTTTTTTAAGAGCTGAAAATCTGTTTCTTTTTATTAAAAAGGATGATTTTCAGATTTTTTTATGATTAAAAGGTTTCTTTCATTAAAAGAAATGACTTTTCAGACTTTTTTTAGGTCTAAAAAGTTCTTTTCATTAAAAAAAAACAATTTTTCAGATTTTTTTTAAAATTGAAAAAGTTTCTTTTTATTAAAAAGAAATATCTTCAGAACTCAAAAATAGTTTTTCAATAAAACTTTTCAGATTTAGATCAAATCAGATTTAGATTTAAACTGATCTGTCAAATTCAGATTTGAGATTTAATCTATTAGATTCAGATCAGATCTAGGTTTCAATAGATCCTGAAAAATGAAAATTAGATCAAATTAGATTTGAATAAAATCTGATTTAATTTAATTTTGTGAAATACTACTTATAAGTAATTTAAAAACTAATTATAATAATATTTAAATACTTAAATCACATTTTTTTCTATTTAAAATTAATACTTTTAATGGTAAAATTATTAATTTTAAGATAATAATATTCTATACATACAATTAAAATATTTAAAAAGTAAATAAAAATAAAAAAATTAAAATTTTAAAAATTGGTTAAGTTAATTATTAATCTTAAATCCAATTGAACATTTATTATCAAAACTGAAAAGTGTATTAAAAAATGTTTTAAATTTGCAAAATAATATACAGAGGAGTGAAATAAATAATTTTTATTTGATATTTATTTATACTTATTCATTATAATAGATTTGTATAATATATTTAATATTTATTATAACCTTTTTTAGTAGAAATAAATATATAAATTCAAAAGATATTGAATTAATTAGATTTTAATATATTTTTTTAAGAATTGCTTCTATTCTTTAATAACTATTTTTTCTAACTCTTAAATATTAGATACTTCAGTTTACATTTTTAAAATTTAAACTTAACAATTGATCAAAGTTTTTTAATAGAATTAAATTAAGATTTTGAGATATTTATGATAAATATTCTCTTTTACTTGAAAAAAGAAAATCTTATGCAATTTTTTTGTATATACTAATACATTGTCTTCTTGAAAAATAAGTTTTTTGTAATTGTTCTTTAAGGGTTAGCATAATATAAGTTTTAAGGATTTTATAATGGATTTTATTAGTAGTAAAAACAATTAATAGAATAATAGATTTGAGGCTAAACTATAAAAAACAGCTTCAAAACATTCATTTAGAACTGTATTTTACAGTCAAAAATGATACAATTTTCATTAAATACTTTTTCAGATTTTTGTTAAGTTTAATCACAACCTGAAGTTTAAAACTAAGAAAAGGTAGATTCATCTGACTAAATTACTTTTCTTCAGTCAGTTATTATCTAATTTTATATTATTTTGTAAAAGCATTTTTTGATTTTATTTGCAGAAGAAATTAATAATTTTGGATAAAACATACATGATTAAATATTTTCTATATTTAATGCTTTTTGAATGATTTACTTAGATATTTTCTCATTTTTATTTGTTTTAAAAAAAGCTAGTAAACTTCTTTTGAACTTTGGTACTTAAAATCTTATTATTAATAACATAATTTTTTTCATTTTTACATAGTCATTAATTGAGAATGATCTGATCATTTATTAATAGTTTGATTATTTTTTAAAATTCAAGAATCTATTATCTAGTAATTTCTGCAGTTTTTTCTTATATAATATAAAGTTTTAATATGCAAAAATTGCATTTCTTTTTTTTTGAAATAATCTCTTTTATAAGACCTATTTTTTGCAAAAAATTGTGAAAAATCTGAAAATTTTTAAAAAATTTAAATTAAAATAAACAAAAAAAATAATCATAGTTTCAATAAAAACAAATTCATTTTGATTAGAAAAGTATTATAAATTATCATATTTAAGCTTTATTACATTAATTATATATAAAATTTATTAATTAAAGTTTCACAAAAAAATTTTTCAATATTTATTTCACTCTCCTATAATTGAAGAGTACTTTACATAAAGAATCAAATTTTTAGCCATACTTTATAATCTTAATTGAAATTATGATTTAAAGTAACTATTTATTAGATTTATATATAGTTTAATTAATAATAGTTAAAATTTTATACTAATTATTATGCATATTTTTGAATTTTTAATAAAATATGAGGTTTGTTAATTTTGTTTAAGTAGTATATATATTTTTCTATAAAATATATAAATCTTTATATTCTAATATAATAAATATATAATAAGAGTCATAAATGGTTTTTGGATTTTAATTTTATAAAGTATTCTAAGATATAATATTTATATTATTTTTAAATAAATACAAAAGCTTATATTATAAAGTTATAACTAAGATTCTTAGTAAAAATACTAACGTATTCTCAAAGATTAGAGTTTGATATACTATCTTTAAAAAAGTATTCAGTCAAGCTCATTTTAAATTTCTTAAGATTAAATATATTAACTAACCAAAATTTTTTTTAATAAATCACTTGATTTTAACATTTATATTTATATATTTATATTTATATGATAATTTATAGATTTGTTTAATAAATAAAATATAATCTTTTCTGATTTTAAATTTTTTTTAAAAATTACGTTATTTAATATAATGTTCAGCAAGAGGTGTCAAAAATTGGATTGCTAAAAAATAGATTACAGTACTTCTTGAATGGTCTCTCAATTTTCAGACCTTAATCAATTATTTATAGAATAAACTTAAACTAAGACATAATAAACATTCGATATGTCTGAAAAATCTTTATAAATTTGAGAAAATATTACAAGAAGAATAGTAAAATATTTCATTTAAAACTTATATTAAATTTATAGTTAGTATATCACATAAGAGCATACATTAATGGTTTACTAAGTATTAAATAATATATTATTTTAAAAATTCTTAAATAAATAAAATTTTATTTTAGCTGACCAGCTTTTAAGGGTAATGTATTTACTATCTACAGTATGGATTTACTATTGAAGTACAAGGTAAATAATATAAGTAAACATGTAAACATTTTTACAAAATGAAAAAGATTTTAAAAAACAATTAATGTAGACTTAATTTAAGAAAGAATTATGTAAAAAGCTGGTATATTTGGTATTATGAAAACCAGTAATACCAAGTGACTAAAATGATCTCAAATGACTCAAATGACTGGTCATGTATCATTTGGATCATTTCAACATTAAATGACAAATGACCTGGTCATTTAAGAATTATATAATGTGATCTCAATAATTCTGGCCAAAATAATTAATGCAATTAATATTTCGAACGTTTTCATAAATATTTCACGTGATATAAATCTGTAATTCTGGCCAGCATATAAAATTTGGCCTGTATTATATTTAAATGACTAAATGAGAAATGACCTCAAATGACCAAGTCATTCGAAGGTCATTCAGAGGTCATTTCAAAATGGCCATCACTGACGAAGACCCATATGTAGTTATTAGTCCGGAGCGAAGCGAAAGGACTTTCTTATACTAACCACATGTTACACGAGGTGTCCCGTTGTCCGCCCGCTCAAAATTTGAGTCTATACGTGGTTGATCCCTTTCGCTACACTTGTGCTCTGGACTTAACAATGGTTTCTGAAACCGTTCCCTAGTTCAAGAGCATCTTTGGGAATTGAGTCTTATTAAATCAACAAAATTTTAAATACTTCTATGTTTTACTAATCAGGTAATTATTTTTTCAGCGAAAACAATTCAGTTTGCAGTTATTTATTCAAGATTACTTTTTCTCTACTTTAAATTACAACACATCATTATAGAAAAGTAAACGATGATTATGTTAATTAAAAACGTGTCGTTGTTCACAAACTTCAAATGTATTGCCCCTGCGAAATTCTACTGTAAATACTCGTTCAACAATAGGATCTTGCCGTCCTATAACACTATTATGATAGTTATCATATAATTGTGTGATAGCATCCTCCATTGTCTGCATATCGTTAAATGCGAATACAGAATTTGATTGTGTCAGGTTTGCCTTTGGAGTGCGATAGGAGTATAATATGGAGTTCCTCTGATCACTAATCCAAGAAATAAAGTTAGAAAAGCCTTTTGAAATAAAT